TCGTTCGTTACAGTGTTGTTTTAGCGCGAGTATTGAGATTAAGTGTATCGGTAAAGTTGTATTCGGAAATAATAAACCAGTTTTATTAAGTAAAGACTTGTGTCGTTAAAGTTTCGTTGGAACGAAATTACGGGAAAGTTAATTAACAAACGGAGACGTAACAATATTGAGTCTTGCTTTTGAGTTTGTCTGATGCAGGCTTGTTTTTTTCCATCTCAAACGGCCACTGATTATAAAACTAAATCCAAATTAAATCAAAATAAAGGCAAAACAAAAGTTACAAAATTAGAAACGTTATCAAAGTTCTAAAAGTTTCTGTAAAATCTTTCCGAAATCATAAGTCTAAGATCACTGCAAAATCGCTAAGTGCTGCAAAAATATAAGCTAAAAATCTAACTTAGCAGGGAAAAACCTACCTATCTTTTAATACTAGAACATACTGTTACGTCTCCGCTTGTTAATTAATTTTTCCGTAATTTCGTTCCAACGAAACTTTAACGACACAAGTCTTTACTTAATAAAACTGGTTTATTATTTCCGAATACAACTTTACCGATACACTTAATCTCAATACTCGCGCTAAAACAACACTGTAACGAACGAACGTTAACTTCAACAATACGCTGTGACTGCAGTTCAATTACTCACTGTCTACACCTTACCGCGTCACGTTGTCCCCTCCTATATATATATCCGCGTAACCTATTTCTAGTAAGAACTTGAACATTCGATAAAGTACATGATAGTTCTAGAAACGTTGCGTCACAGTGTCATGTGACTCGCTGACGCAACAATACGGTAAAGCTTGAGCCAAGATTGGACACAAAACACTATTCTGAACATGACCAAACTCAACTGAAAAAACAGAAATTTCTAAACTTTAGGTATTAACTAAAATAAAATAAAACGCATGGTACCATTCTGCTTGCACTCCCCAACTTTAATTTGTCCTGAACATAAATAAAGATTACTGTACATTCTACACTGTGTTTGGTCTCTTTATTCAACTCAATCATAACCAGAAATTTGTTTCAATTCCATATAACTTTTCTTCTATTTCTCCTGTTATCCATGGTTACTTTGTTACCTATAAGATGATCAGTGTACATGAATATTACAACTTCTTTTTACAACGATTTGAGGAGAAACATACAAAATATATTTGAATTTGTTATCTAAATATCGACACAGGATGATCAAAATATGCCTGCTCTATTAAAATGTAATTAAAAGTCAAACAGATTTCAACAAATCAATTTCTATTGAACATTTGCATGTAATTAAATAGTTTTGTGTAGCGACATATCCACCGCGGGGTATCGAACACCGGTATATTAGCATTGTAAATCCGTAAATTTACTGCTAAGCTATCGATGGAATAATTAAACAGAAATGTTCTCAATTTCATATTTTATGCCTCAATGTTATAGATTTTTTACTGATTTTAACCATTCTTTTTATAAAATAATATGACGCATTGACTTCTCTAGAAGGATTGGATGAACCCTTCGAACTTTATTTGCATCCGCCATAGGTCAACGTCGTGACGTTCACATTCAGATTTAGTTGTTGAATAAAGTGGTCGAAAATTTGTATCCACTCTCCTTTTTCTTGCTTGAACTTAACTCTTGAGTTTGCTTGTTTGTTTGAGGCTGCCGTACCTCATTTCGAAAAGTTAGAGTCGAGCCCGCGACCCACAGATTGCAAGCTGAATGCTCTTTCGTTTTGTTTTTTCTTTATTAATCCACCTTCATAGAGGGGGCATAAATAGAAATACATCAATAATTCAAGACATCTCATAAAAATGACTGTACATTTCTGGATAGTAAGAAAATAATAGTTATGCACCGGGCCACCTCTTCGGTTCATCAAGTCACTAATACCACAAACATATAACATGTCATAAGTAATCTGTCGTATCCGTCACTATTGTTATGCAAATATCTAAATATCACGTGTTTTATTTAGGCAGTTATTAATGGCTGTCTTTATATAAAGATAGAATGTAACATCACTAAGAAAGCCTCAATGTTAGGTCCCAAAATTAAGTATGCATTTTCATTGCTGATCTGTCGAATTCGATGATATATTTGATTTTTCAATAGTTCGTCAGCAGAAAAGAAACATTTTAATTTATAATCTAACTCAATTGTGAAATTTATATTATTTGCTTATTTTTATTTTTTGCGAGTAATGTTTATATATGATATATTTTACAGTTTTTTATGCGTTTCGTACAAGCATTATATAACGCTGATGTGATTTGGACTACTGCACATAAAACCTTGTCTCGTGACAGGTGGTTCAAGGTTTGAAGCGTGTATATGACTTTATTATAAATTTATGTGACATCTAAGTTGTCTTTTCAGTATTTAGGTGGAACAGTTATCTAATTTTTCAGAAGCTAACCTCGGAGGTGTTTTTAGTTCAAAATGACAGAAAAAGACTTTGCTCCATTGAGTGCTGCATGTGTCAGAGCATTGAACGACAAGCTTTATGAAAAGAGGAAAGCTGCTGCTATAGAAATAGAGAAGTAATTAATCAGTTAGGCTTAAACAAGTGAAGGTTTTCGTAGTTTATCGTTTATACTATATTTATATTTCTCTGAACCCGTTCCACTAACTCATTTTTTCTTACATAAGGAAGAACCAAAACTGTATGAAATATTCCAAGTGAGATGTACAATAGTGATTTGTATCGAGAGATAATAAACTCATTTGACTTATTTCAACATGTTTCAACATCCTATTAAGGACCACCTGAATCAATTACAGCATAAATTCAGTACATTAAGAGCTATGTTAACATTAATCGATAAAATTAGACTAGTGTCATTTTTTGTTCAACAGTAACCCCAAATTACATGTAATTGCCAGCTGGAAGTCACTTTGTAACTCATTTGTGAATCTTTTTCTTTTTTTCCTCACTAAAATTTTTAAATTCAGACAACACTGGTAATCACCAAGCAACATTGAAATTGTGGCAAAGTATCCACATTTAGTTGGGTCTTAGAGTGATGGACATAACAAATATCACAGGTACTTGCCAGCTGGAAATCACTCTGTAACTCATTTGTGAAGTGTTTTTTTTTCCTCGCTAAAAAAAAGGTTGGCTTTTCATCTGACCTCTCATGTCAGTCATGGAGGGACCCCTGCATATGATTATACTCAAACTGGTCATCACCAAGCAACATTGAAATTGTGGCAAAGTATCCACATTTAGCTGGATCTTAGAGTGATGAGCGTAGCAAACGTTTTACCTTATCACTCAAAGTCCAAAGTCGTACAACTGTGGTTGTCATCAGAACTGATGGTTACTTTTATTTCCAATGTACAGTACACACTTAAAATGTTTTACTGGATAGTTTTTTAGTTTTCTAAGAGCAATGACCAGTGAGCTAGACCCAGCTCTAGATCTATTAGTAAAGCTAATACATGTAGTTTGAATATATATATATATATATATATATATACACACACACACACACACACACACACACACACACACTGAAAAGTTACTTAAGAATTTCAATGTTTGCATAGGATTGTTGTAGAAAGTATAACTTGTATAAACTTATTTGGACAAATCTCTGTTTCTGTCTGTACTGTAGAAACTATTTTTATATCATTTCTCTAGGTCCATGCTTCATTTAACATTTTAAGTCACTTAAGCTGTAAGAAGTGATTTAAGAGTTTTGGATTATTTTTTTTTGCTCTGGGGCAAGAAGAATTAAGGGGCTTGACAGTTCAAGGTTATTATTAACTATAAGTTCTCTGAGTGGTGGAATGAACTTTATTTATTGGTAAATTGCAGTTATAGTGTTCATAGTTATTTGAAAATAATAAACCTCGTTAAAAAATGTTGCTCTATTTTTATACAGTGTTTTAATGGAGCATGTTATCTGTGTCTGTGATACACTTCACTACTTTATCAGTTTTAGTTATACATATTTAAAGTTCTCAAAATACATTAAAATCATATTTATAACATTTGCATAATGTGTTTGTAACAATGTTATTTTGATTTGAATAAGTATTAAATGATTAAAATAATTGGTTTAATCACAGGATGGTAAAAGATTTTGCTTCTGTCAATAACGTAAGCCAGATAAAACGGCTGCTGTGGGTACTTGGCCAAGATTTTGCTCTTTCATCTAATGCTAACAGCAAGAAAGGAGGATTGATTGGACTTGCTGCAATAGCAATAGCTCTTGGAAAAGTAAGTCAGATTTGAAATTCTTTGTTTTCTAGGAGGATCTTTTGGATCAACCTAGACATAGAAGTAGCCTAAACAGAAAAAAGGAAACAAAGAAAACTTAATATATGAAAGGATAATACATTTATTGATGTTTTACGTGAATTCTATTTCCTTAATTAAAATCTAAATTATCAATTCCTTTGTGATGTTTTATGTGCAAGGAATCAAGTAAATAGCAGAGAAGAAGACTAGGATTAAAAAGTTAATAAAAAAATCACTTCTTTGCCAGTAACTTTAGGTTTAGCTCTAAAGATAGGAAGTGAATGATTATAGAATTCATTAGTAATTGAAGACAGTGGTGTAAAGTTAGGTAGAGATGCAATAGCAATGGCTGAGTTTCAATAGAATTCTGTACCTTAAGATTTGGAGAATAGCTCAAAGAATGCTGAATATTTTGTTAAGGAAGTTATATAAAAAGTTTTAAAATTATATAAAATACAGACTCGTCAGCCTGAAATTTCAGTAAAACACACAAACTGTCTATGTTCAATCTTGGGTCATTTATTCTGGTAAAGGGTAGTAGAAATTATGAAACACCTTTAGTGTTGTAGAGCTGGGCAGTTAATCAATGGAATTGATACCCATAGGTAATAATAAAATAATTGATTAATAAAAATTGATCACATCAATTAATGTTATGTAAATAATCAACTATTGTTTCTGAATATTATAGTTTTCAATTATTTCAACTATCCAGTAATTATAATTACTCTTACATTCATTAAGGTCACAGAAATAATCAACTAATTGAAATTAGTGTTTCCAATTATTCCAACTGTCCTAGTAATTAAAATATTACTGAATAATTTGTTTGTTGTTAAGATAAAACTACCCAATTACTGGCGGTGCTCTAGTCACTGTGGGTGTTGAAACCCAGTTTTTGTAGCATTAGTTTTTTTTTCAGCCACCTCACAAGAATAATTGATTTAGTTGAATGTCATAGCAATATGTTTTAGGGGAATAAGAAAAAAAATTTTTTTAAGTAATACTGTAACTGTTTACTAGTCACTTATTAGAAAAATATCAGAATACTTGCAGACTTTCTTTTTCCTTTTATCTCTCCAATCTGATATAATTTTTTATTTACTTGTTACTTTTTTATATACATGTCTTATTAATAAGCCAAAACACTACTGCAATCTGGTATTGTGCTTTTCTATTTTGGAAGATACTAATTTTGTGAATTAGTTTTCAGTCATTTTTTATTTAGAAATTACTGATTTACGTTTATTGTGACTAAGACTTGGTATCCCTTTTTTAATTTAATTAATTATGATTTCTAATAATTATTCCAGAAGACTAGTTTTATTAAATATTTGAAATTAATTTAATTAGTAATTCAATGATTGTAAGATTGTACAAAATTCTATACAGCTGCTTCAATCATTATGTATTATTGCAATTACTGAAGGACAAAAAAATGTTTTTAAACCAGTGGTGATTTTAAAGGTTAATGCTAATTTCATTTGGTTTATGTGTATCTGCTGATTATGACAATGTAATATTTTATTGTTTGCTCTAACTAAAATAAATATTAAGTCATTGTTTAGGATAAACTGGAGCTTAAGTCATTTTAGAATTTTTAGAATTAGAATCTTAGAAGAATTAAATGCTTTAAGTATGAAAAAAGAAAAATCAAGCTAAACAGGGAAAATATTTATATCTAACTAAATAAAACAAAACTATTTTTATTATTTCACAATACATTAGCAGTTTGAATAAGTAGTAAACATAAAAAGAACAATTTGTGTATTCAGACCTACCATTAGGACTATGGTATACTTCAATATTTTTAGGAAACATCACAATATATTGATGAACTTGTCCAACCCGTAATGTTCTGCCTTAATGACATGGACAGTAGGGTTCGGTACTATGCAGCAGAAGCTCTTTACAATGTTGTCAAAGTTGCTCGAGGCTCTGTTTTACCATTCTTTAATGACATCTTTGATGCTCTAAGCAAGGTAAGAAATGAGAAAGAAAAAAAGCAAAATATACTACAGTTTTTCAGAGTTAGTGTTTATCATCTTGACTCTTATTTTAAGGACTTCTTTTAACATTTTTATTTTTAAACAAATCATTTTTAAAATTAAAAACAGTATAACAAGTCTAAGTAAAACATTCTTAGTTAGTTTGTTGTTTTAACAGTTTTTGTTTAAGGTTTGTGAAGAGTTGCCATTGTGTAGTTTTTATCCTAACCAGGTGGTGGGGTATTTGAGCTTTATTATTGTTTATGGAATCCTCTTCCAGTTCTCAGATTATATTAACCCATAAAAATAACCTTTTCTGTTTTACTGTATCATGAGATTATAGACTATCCTACCAAAAGTCATGGGACATGGGTAGTTAAGAATATAACATGTCTTTATTCCAAGAAATTAATAGCGGGTTGGCCCGTCTTTGGTCTTAATGACTGCTTCAATGCGTCATGGAAGACTGTTTACTAATTTCTGGTAGAAAGCTGGTGGTATTGTGCTCCACTCCTCTTTTAAAGCATTAGTAAGCTCCATCATTGAAAAGGGCCATCTTGGTCTTGCTCAAATTCTGCATTCTAGTTTGTCCCAAAGGTTGGGGCTCTGTGCTGGCCACTGCAGTGTTCTGATGTTATTCTCTTCAAACCATGCATTCACAATCCTTGCTTTGTGACATGGAGCGTTATCATGTTGGAAGGTGTAACGGCCAGTACCATAAAATTGCCACAATTTAGGACACACAGAATTGTTCAGAACATCATTGTAGGACTCGGCATTCATGGATCAATGCACTGCGACCAGTGGACCTAGTCCATACCATAAGAAGCACCCCCAGACCATGATTCTTCCACCTTCAAACTTCACTGATGGGACAACACACTCGGGTAATAATCAGTCTCCAGGCATCCTCCGTACCCAAACACATCCATCAGACTGACCTTCAAACTTCACTGATGGGACAACACACTCGGGTAATAATCAGTCTCCAGGCATCCTCCATACCCAAACACATCCATCAGACTGGAAGAGTATGTAGCGTGACTTGTTGCTCCACAGGACTGATTTCCATTGATCCACGATCCAGGTTCGGTGTGCCTTGCCCCATGCCAATCGATATTGTACATTTGTTTTTGTTATCAATGGCTTGTGGGCTGCAGCTTGTCTGTGAAAATTCATGGCATGCAGCTCTTGACATGTTGTGAAAACATTTATAGGACTGCCTGTGGCTGCTCCCTTCTCCAAACACAGATTCTCTAGGGTCTGATGGAAAGATGAGATAACCAGCCTTCTCATGGTGCATCAGCTCCTGTCAGTCAGTATTTTACACCTACCTGGTCGTTTCTTGGGCTCATCATCACCTGTGGACTTCCATTTCTTTAGCACGTTGCCAGTTGTCGACCTGGGAATGATTGTTGCACAATAGCGTGTACAGACATTTTGCCCAAGTGACATCCAACTATCCTTCCCATCTGAAATTCTGTTAGCTCTTTCTGTGTAGTCATTGTTTGGCATACAATTTCAAAATGACTTCCAAGTGAACCACTTATCACCTATATAGTCCAAACTATTTGCATATTTCGTCATCACACAAATTTTATTGCAATCAGAGGTGTCTCATGACTTCTGGTAGGACAGTGTAGTATCCAAAATAAATATCCTGTTTTACTGTATCATGAAATTGTGTATCTAACAATTACTATTTGATCACACTTTCCTGAAAAGATAAAATATTTTTAATAAGAGTTTTTACATGTTAACTGTTTTAGAGTGATAAATATGTAACCTGATTTAGCCCCTTTATTCCTGTAAGATAAGATACTTCTGTGTGCAGATGAACAGTGGGTAATTTGTCAGATAGATAACTGAGGATCAAAATGACATATAGTTGAGGCAAACTTTATAAAAATATTTCATATTTATTGCCTGCACAGTAAATATTCCTGAAGTTAGCATTGTTTTACTTCCATAAGAAATAACAGTAGAAAAGAAAAGTTTTCTTAATGCAATATACATTTGCTCAATTATATAGTTTTTTCAAAGTAACCTTATCAAAAAGATACTAATACCTGCATTGGCAGCTTCTGTCCTGTACCTATTTTTGGTCCTTTGGACAGTACACTTTACATGAATCTGATCTGTTTGTTTATAAATAGATTCTTTGGACAGTACACTTGACTTGATTCTGGTCTGTCTGTTTATAAATAGTTTCTTTGGACAGTACACTTGACTTGATTCTGGTCTGTCTGTTTATGAATAGTTTCTTTGGACAGTACACTTGACTTGATTCTGGTCTGTCTGTTTATGAATAGTTTCTTTGGACAGTACACTTGACTTGATTCTGGTCTGTCTGTTTATGAATAGTTTCTTTGGACAGTACACTTGACTTGATTCTGATCTGTCTGTTTATGAATAGTAAACAGACACACCAGAATCAAGTCAAGTGTACTGTCCAAAGAATGAATAGATTCTTTCTTTCATGGGAAATATAAATGTTTGCTATTTCATCTGAATTTCTTATATCTGTTAGCTTCATGTCCACATAATGGTAAGTATGGAATCTATGTGTCTGTTCTTCTTGGTCACTGATAAAATCTGGATATTATGTGATTAATAGCCTTGCCATATAGAGACATAATATGTTTTAATTTCATTTTGTTCTGAATATAGGTATTTCAAAAGTAGTATACTGCTAACTAAAATGTGAGAGCTGCAAATTGTACAGTACTGGAAACTGCATGATCAAACTTGGAACTCCAACTTGTGAGGCTAAAACTAAAATATTTCAAGACAGGAAATACATTAGTTTCACAGAATAAACATTTTACTATAAGACTGATTTCTGAAAACAAAAAAGCAACACAAAGAATCTTGGAGGTTAAACTATTTCATTTGGGTTTTTTGTTGTCTAGAAGAGAGATTTTTATCAGTCAGAATTCATTGCAAGCAATGTGTTTGTGTTTTACCATTTCTGTACTATTATATTTTTTATTGCTTCTGTTAGCTAGCAGCAGACCCTGACCAGAATGTAAAAAATGGTTCAGAACTCTTGGATCGTCTTATGAAGGTAATTTTTTTATTATACAGGATCAACCTGTAAAAGCAGGGGATTGGTGATTCTTATTCATTATTGTAATGGTTAGATAGTTTTAGAATTTTATTCATATTGTTATACCTCTTATCATACTTAATATTACTTTAGTAATAAACATAATTTGTTTAATATTTAAATTTTTATTGAATAATTCATTTTAGAACACACAACACACACACACACACACACACACACACACACACACACATATATTATATATATATTCATACATATACCTTTAATGTTTCATATTTTCCTTTCTTTAGTGTTCTCTTTACATTTTAAGTTTGTTGAGGGATACCTCCTCTTTCTTCCCTCCATGCTGTTTTTTTTGCCATCTTCAGTTCATTCCCTCCTCACATGGCTTCTTGCTTTTGGGTAAATTATTCATAAGGTTTTATGGTCTTGTCTTCTCTTGTCCCTTTTTTGGGGGCATTGCTCCTGTGGATAGAACCTGTTCACACTTACTCTCTTTTCACATATAAGATATGCTCTTTTGGGCCCCCACCCACAATATTCATATCCTTGTATGTCATATTCCAGGGGCTCTCGCATAGATCACAGTTTGTTTTTCTCATCCTGACACATTCTATCCATCAGAGTGGTCTCTCAATTTTTTCGTTTTCCAGTGGCTTTGTCTTCCATGGGATTCTCACCACATAGATTCCTTTACTACATCTCTTAACTGCCCATTATCTCTATTTGGTATCCTGTGCCTTCTCTACTCTAGATAGAGCTGTTGATGACTTTGGCTGGGATTGCCCCCCCCCCCATCCTCTTACTTCCATGGGTGATTTCCCTCGTCCCTACCATTCTATGTTAGGTCCTTCTGATTGCTCCTTAATGGGCAGATTAATCCTGATTTCCCAAAAACTTATCCTGCTCTAACTTTCACCTCAATTTCCTCTTACTTTGTCTCCTGCCCTTCTTCTTCCACTTCGTTTGCTGGTACTTCATCTGGACATTTGCATCATTTGTCTTCATGCTTGACTCTTGTTCAGTCCTTGGTGGGGAGATCAAATTTATACCTGCAGGTAATGTTCTTTTAGCTTGTTCCATTCACTCTTCTTTAGTGGGCGTTTATTGGCATAAATGGAAAGTGTTCTGCAGTTAATCTATGAGTCGTGGATCTCCGCAGATTGAACCACTGTGTCTTGGGTGGCAGAGTTTCTCCCCTGTTTTTTCGACCATGGGTCTTCAGTCCCTTTGATCTTGGGTTATTGGGCAGCATTGTCCCATACCTTTGTGTGTATTTTCCCAATACCGCAGAATTTTTTACCTCGTCTATCCTTACTATGTTCATACATTCCTTCCGGGTTAGTCATACTCCCTAACTGCCTACCATTCTGACTGGGATATTATTGTGATTCTTTCTTCCCTCTCTTTACCATTGTTTGCATCATTTTCTTTGTGTTCCATGTTTCACCTTTCCTTCAAGAATATTTCCTTTTCCTCTATGCTTGTGTATGTCTGAGGTCGGGTTTATTTCCCATGATGTTTCTTGTACATTTTTCCCACTCCCTCTCTTCTCCTTTCTCCAGATCTTTCCTTCCTACCCAAGACATCGGTGGCTATGGGAGATAACTCCTCCTTTTGCCTGATTCCCTTCCTTTCATTTCCAGTCTTTATCCTCCCCCTCCCCCCAATCTGGATAGACTCCTACGTGCTCTTTGTTTTTCTATTGCCCATACGACTTCTTTCCATGGTGCCTGCTCCCACCTATTTATTCCCAGGTGGTTTTCCTTGGGTCAACATCTTTCTCCTTCCTCCCTCACCAATTGTATTTGGCTTTTGATCCCATTGGCTTACTTTCCTTTATCATCTTCCTCCAGGTGTTTTCTCATCAGATTCGACATCCTTACCCTTTCTCTGGCATCTCCTTTTTGTTAGCCATTGGAGAACTCCTACATTCGGGCATGAAGAGTACACCTAATATATTCATCTCCTCTTATCTTCACCATATTGCGATTTCTTCTTCGTTGGGTTTTCATCTACCACCTGTGATTGTTTTCATACTTCGGTGTGACTCTAACTGGGTAAGTTTCTATTCATTATTTCTTTCCTTTCTGGGGCCCTTGCTTCATTAGTCACTATTTGGATCCTGCTTCATGGCGAGGGGTGCCTAACCAGGTATCCTTCAATTGAAACTGCACTGTTCAGCCATGTTGAATTGCACTCTCTTCCATGGCTCCGCAATGCTCACTAGTAAAATGGGTATTCCACATAATTGCTTGAAGGTGAATAACCTTGTGATGTTTTTACTTCATAAACATGACTGTTCTGGAATATACCATCCATGGACTGCATGGGTGAAGCAGAAGGGATAGCTGTCCATCCCTGCCATGCCTTGATTGAATAAATCAATATGGTCTGCTTTTCAAAATAGGGTTTTGAGGTCACCCATTGCACAGTCTTCAGTGATGACATTCCTCTGGACTCTCCACTACATATTCACCCTCCTTTCTTTTAGTGGAGTGTGGGAGTCCTTACCACTTTCCAATTTCAAGCCACCATGGAGACATCCTCTTGAATGAGTTCCACAAAGAAAGGTCTAAAACCATTCAGCCAAGAGTAGGGTGGTGGTATTCTGTTGGTGTAGATGAGACATGGCCTTCTGACACCAGTTACACAACCAATGGAGTCAAGCCATCACCTTACTGGATAATGTGGCCTCTTGATTCCATTTACACAAACACTGGAGTTAGCCATCACTTACAGGATGATGTGGCCCTGTGATACCATTTACACAATTACTGGAGTTGAACTGTTGAAAGTGCGGTTCACCCCTTCGATTGGGAGTCCTCATCCTACCGCCATGTGGATGTCAGTACCCCGTGGCCTGGTGTTGGATTTAGAGTGAACCAATCAACATAAGTCCTCATACATGTTTATGGTTATCTATATTTCTCCCTCAATCAAACTCTTTATGCTGTGGGTCACAGCTGAGGAAGGTGGACTGTTCCGGGTATCTTCCTTTGCCGTCCCTCATTATATCTTATCTGAGGAAGTTCTGTCTTTTGGATTGTTCCATTTCATTTCCCTCACACTTCCCACCCTTCATCCCAACCAAAAACTGATGCTTCCATCTTCTGCGAAACTCAAAGTGCTTGTTTGGTGGAAGAGTATAGAGGGAGTCACATGCATCACGTGACTATGTCACACTCCATTGGTGATGTGATGCATGACGATTTGCCAGAGAGACATGTTGAAATCACTAGATTCCAATAGGAGGGAGCAGAATGCTTGTGGCATGCATTCAAAAAAGTTCACATATATATAGAGGGCAGCACTGAATGGGAATAGCTAATCTTGTGAGCGAAGGGAAGTACTTATTGGAAATAAATTTTCAGTATAGGAAAGTTATAACTTTCAATTCTCTGTGAGAGCAACACTAGATGTTGTCTTTTTACCTCTGTTACAGCTAACAGCTATATGATCTTATTAGTTGAATAAAATAATGATGTGAGATATTAATTAGGGAGCAGTGATATTTTAATTGAATAAAATGATGTGAGATATTAATTAGGGTAGCAGTAATCTTTTAATTGAATAAAATGATGTGAGATATTAATTAGGGAGCAGTGATATTTTAATTGAATAAAATGATGTGAGATATTAATTAGGGAGCAGTGATATTTTAATTGAATAAAATGATGTGTAAGATTAATTAGGGAGCAGTGATATTTTAATTGAATAAAATGATGTGTAAGATTAATTAGGGTAGCAGTGATATTTTAATTGAATAAAATGATGTGTAAGATTAATTAGGGTAGCAGTGATCTTTTAATAGAATAAAATGATGTGAAAGATTAATTAGGGTAGCAGTGATCTTTTTTAGTTGAATAAAATTATGTGAAAAATTAATTAGGGTAGCAGTGAT